AACAGCTGTCGCAAAATAATATTCAGTCTGCATCATGAAAAATACCTTATTATATATAGAAGGAACCAATATAAGTTAACTTGACTTGCTGTTAAAAAATAGCTAACTAAACCTAACTGTGAAATATATCCAATCCTCTGATAGCTGTTTAAATTTCAGGTAATCAACATTCTGAAATCATCTTTGGCATCTTTTGGAAATTAACTTTCATTTCATTCCAACTTATTATTAAAGCATTTTCATGCAAGGAAACTTATTCTTATACGGACTCATCACTTTCCTTGTTAATTTCAATTCAGTCAAAATCTCTCACTTTCAATAACTAGATATCTAGTTTGTATATGTATGTGTACACAGTGGGGTCACTCAATTTGTTTGTCTGTCTATCTGTGTGTGTGTCTGTCTGTCTGTTTCCATTTTCTTTTCCCCCTATTTTGTTCCTTCTCTTTTCTTTTCTTCCCTGACACTTCTCTTTATTTTACAAAACCATTTCTTCCACGATCACTACCCAGCAATACCATTTGAATTAATAAATTTACCTGAGATTTATATATTATCTATACCAAAATCATACCAGAAATATCCTGGTAGAGTAAGGAACTTTCCATAATGGGAAATCTATTACAAAGGTAATAATTCATCATATCAAACCTAATACTTTCTCTATCATGTATCTATATTGTCATTACTTGAATGTACTTTTTCCAAGTGTTTTGTAAGATCCCGTTTTTCATTATAAGCTTTGGGACATAAACGACAGGCATATCTCTTGATCTGTAAGTGCCTGATCATGTGATCTTTTAGTTTATCTGCACGAGCAAATGACTTAAAGCAAACATTACATATATGACGCTGGGCTTCAGTGTTGTGTGTCTGAAAGAACATTAAAAATCAAATTAAAAGGACTTAAACTCCTATCAAACCTAATAATCTTATATAAAACTACAATTTCTTAAGAAATATACAATTTTTTATGAATATAAAAACAGTGTGTTAGGTGTTATACATCACTGTGTACAAACCCAATATAAAATAAAATATTCTATAAATTTAAGAATAAGAATGTATATTTCACCTCATTACCGTTACATCTGAAGATAACTATATAACACTAGAAGCCTTCTACCAACTCCCTAATGACATGATTTATTTCAGTTCAATAAACTGCCGGTATCTACCTGAAGAGAATCAAGTTAATTTTGTACACAATTATATAATGAGTGTATACTATACACAAACCTGAAATGTAATTTTACTTACTCTCATATGAGTATACAAGTTGCTGGATCTACTAAAACTTTTCTTGCAAGTTTCACATTTGTAAGGTTTTTCTCCTGTATGAATTCTTTTGTGTTCTCTACAATATTCTGTTCTTGAAAATGTTTGACCACAAATCTGTAATCAGAATATATTGGTTTAATACTGTTTTATGCAACAATTTCTTTAAATTACAGAAATTAAACAAATGAAATAAGATCCAAACATTTTTGTATGTAGGTGTTTATTTATAGAAGCACAAAAAAGTCTCTACAATGCTGATTTGTACCAATGAATTATAGTAAAATCAATAAACTATATAAGCATTTTCCAAAAGAAAAAATTACTACAAGCTAGTAAGTCCAATGTATGCTTGGATGCAAGCATATAAACATGAAACTAGACCAAAGAAGTACACACTTACCTCACAAGCACTTCCACGTAAGCCTTTGTGAATGTCCATATGTCTCTGAAATGCTGCATTTGTTCTTAAACTTTGGCCACAGATACCACAAATAAACTGTAAATCTGCATGGCATTCACGGACATGATCACACATCTCCTCTTCAGAACTGATTGTCTGCAAGAACATAAAAGAGTACATGCAACATATTGCATATACCAGAACTTTACAAAAACTTCATCATCATCTAAATTCATTTTAAAAATCATAACCAAAGGACTAATTACCTAACCATATTGAAAAAAAAAAAAAAAACACTTAGAAGAAAATGTAAGTTCATATCTTTTCATTCTCACCTTTGTGCAAGTGTGACACCACTTGACCTGGCTGTGTATACGTGAGAGGTGAACCTTTAGGCTTCCTGCAGATGGGAATTCCTTCTCACAAATCCCACACCATGTGCTGGTACTGAGATCCTCTGGTCCAAGCTGAAAAGGCAAAAATCAGCAAATTCTAAAAAGATAGCTGTCAAAATTCATGAAAATAATTTGAAGAGGGTATACAGCTACTCATACCATAATATTTCATACAAATTGTAAGCTTTTGACAAGTGTACCCCACTTATTTCCTTATTATGCATGTACCAAAATCTCATCTCATATATTTTACATCCACCTCTACCCTTCTCTAAGAAATCCAATTTTTTCAGATAAATTAAAAAAAAAAAAAAAAGTAAAAAAAAAGGAAAGCAATTAAATAAAACAATTATATAGTAATGGCAATAATAGGAATACATAAACACTGATACAAATATACAAAAACAAACACATTTACAAAGATTTGTCAAAAGTTATACTGACCTTTACAATATCTGTGAGGATTGTACCTCCAGCACTGCTATGTGCCGGAGTTTTTGCCTGAAGAAGTTTTGGAGTATTCAAACACTTCACTGAAGCTTTCAGTGAGGACCTCCCTGAAAAATAGACATTTCTTAATAAAAAAAAGTATAATAAAAAAAATAATAATAATAATAAAAAAAAAATACAAGGATGAGGATGCCCCTTCATTTCTGCTTTCAAGTTTCAAGATTGCATTAATGAACATGTTCTGTAAAAACATTTACATATTTCCCAAGAAATGTCCACAACAAATATAAAAACAACAGTCACTATGGAAATAGAATAGAAAATATAAACTAAAAACCTTCAAAACTGGGAATGTCTGGAGCCACCACCATTTCCTCTTGACTGGCATTTGCAATGCCGACCTGGCTGTCCTGCTCCTGCTCTTGGAGTGTGAGGGTCTCTAAGTGGTCAGGGGTTCTAAGGTCTTCCTCTTTTGTGTTGTTGATCTCAATCATAGCTCGTTCTACAGGTTCTTCAACAGAATCTTTTGAAGATGCATTTTTGCTTAGAACTCGACTGACTAACTGGAGTGCTCCACAGGAATTCATGGTATACACAGAGTACATCAGACCATCTGAATGTGTCGCATCTGAACCTTCCTGAAATTAATTTCCGTATAGTAAGCTCTAAAGCAAACTTTAATTTTGTTTGTTTACATACAGAAATCAATTATAACAAATATATTTCTATATACATTCCCTATCCCATTCTATAAAGTATATAGGATGTAAAACCAATCACATGCACAATACTTCTATACAAATTCATTCTCGTATGAGGCACACTCAGACAGACAGACAGACACACACACACACACACACACACACACACACACACACACACACACACACACACACACACACACACACACACACACACACACACACACACACACACACACACACACACACACACACACACACACACACACACACACACACACACACACACACACACACACTGGTACATGATATTCTCCGCATGCAATCACACATAAAAAAGACAGTCTCTAAGGGAATACAGAATATAAACTGAAATCAATCAAAGCATAAACATCTTACCAAATGATCCAAGAGAATCTCGCCTTGGCCTTCTTCAAGCTGCGTAGAATGTGCATAGTCAAGGTCCATATTTTCATCTAATGCTGTCTGCAGTGGAGTTGCCAGGACACATTTGTCTAATTGAGAATCAGTCCCTATTCTTGGATCTTGCATCTTTACAATATCTTTAGAATCTATATCTTTGAGAGAAACATTATTCACATCCATATCAACCTGATCACACTGTGATGATCCTGCACTTACAGAATCTGAGACACATGGAATTTCTTGCTTTAAATGAAGCAGAGGTGTTGGACTAAGAAAATGTGAAAGTTCTGCTGCCTCACATGACTTCTCTTGAGAATCAACATGTTTATCTTTCACTAGTAAAGGAACTGTTTTAAGGTGGTCAGACAACAGCCCAGGACAATTGCAAATTGAACACTGAGAAACAATTTCTGTTTGGACCTCTGCATCACAGATTGGTAGAAGTGATTCATCTAGTTTCAGTACCAGATTCTGGAAAATAAGGAGATAATGAAAATAATCATTACTCAAGTAATGTCAACATACATTAAATATAAAGTATCATACCAGATTCCAGAATAAAAGGAGTTATTTCAATGCAATTGGTAATACACACAAAAATATATACGTAAATTATCTCACCCTATTTCATCTAACAAATATTCTCTATCTAATACAATATAATTTAGAAGCAAAAAAACAGGAAGTCTGTGCATCTAAAGTAAACAAAATCCCTAAAAAGCTGATCTCACTAGGCACTTACAAGGTTTACAGTGACAGTGAGGTGCATTAGCAAACTGGGTGCCAGTAACAGCACTACACTAAAATTTTCTACCCTAATGCAAACATCAAATTCTCTTTTCCAGTTCAATTTCAGGCTAGAAAAGCTCAAAATTTTAACTTTAAGAAAGTAACCAAATTAATTAACCTTTCTGATGGATGCTTTCATAATAAGAAGCATGCATATTTTGTTTTCTTAATAGTGTCCACAGTTGGAACCTTGTATGGAATATATGTCAGGTACATAAGAGTGAAAATACTCTCATACTAGCATAATGACTGAAGAAGTTTTATGCTAATCACATTTACATGAAGTGAAAATTTTATGAAGACAAAAAAAAAAAAAGAAAAACTACCAGTACATAAAATTTTCTGCCATTACCTGGAAGATCTCTCAATAGCGTCAACACATTACTGAAAAAATTATTCTTGGGTACACTATTCTACATATAAAAATTATGTGAAAACTTACCCTCATGTTTGTTATAAGCTGAACTAAATTAGTAGCTAAGGATGTTTGGATTCGTTCAGTGAACCCTTTCATTTCCAAGAACTGCACAGTGTAACTCCCAATTACATTGCATTCTGACATCTATAAGAAAAAAGAATGTCAGGGTTAAAAATACTAATTTTATAAATGTTTATTTATTATATATCATATGATTTTTAATGATCACAGTGACAAACAAATAATAATCCTAATTCTCTGATTATCAATTCACTTGGCAAAAATGACCATATTTCTATCATTCAGAAAATTGCTAGGGCATTAGGTAGTGGTGGTGGTTAGGGGTGGGGTGGTGGTGGGGTTGGCAGTGGCAATGGCAGTGGTGATTCTAATGATGAAAATTATGATAGTGATGGTAAAAATACAAATATCAACAATAATAAAGGATTGATTGGCAAATGGAAATCATCAACAATAAAGCAGAAAACATTATCCTGTTATTAAGAAACAAGCATAAACCAAGGGAACAGCACACAGAAAATACACTCCATTCCTTGGTATATGAAATATGTCATAAAAAGCATGAAATAATGTCCAAAAATGGTTATACAAAAGTTTAAGCACTTTGCATACAAGGAATAGATCAAGCTATATCTATTTTTCATACATATTGGTAAAATTCGTCACCCATTTGTTAATGTGTAATATTAAAAATAAGACATCAAAGCACTGGAAAATACATTCCAAACCACAATAGAACTGAAAAGTAGATATCATGCATGACCTGACTAAACTGTGCTTCTTTAAACAAGAATTTCCATTTCTAACTGCTGGCTAATTTATCAGTTACTGTGATGCTACTAATGTGTAAGTTATAAAACATTCTCAGAATTATGATCTTTTGCAAATGATATCAAAAGTATAAAGGCAGTGATCTTGGCTTCTACAGCTTCACAGATATCATGTAATTAGTAACACAAACTTAGTAAGATGTAGAGCACGTCTTTATATTATGGTCTTTTGGATGTGACTCTTTCCACAGCCTGTTAACCTAATGTGCTCTTCCATCTCTACCCATTTGTTTCCTGTTAACATCATATATGAAAGTAAATTATATTTTCCTTTTGAAATATAGCAATAACCAAAAAATCCTCGAAATACATTTTTATTATTACCAAGTTGGTTCTCAACAGGAATGTGGGTTCAACGCTCTAAAATATGAACATATTAGGAAGGGAGAACCATCTATAATCGCCTGACATAACCCATAACCAACTCTGTTGCAAATACTGTACGGTTTGAGTGTGTACAACCTGGAAATGACGACATACCCCTTGCAGAAAATACTCTAAGTAAAGAGCAGCTTCACGGATGACGTCTGCAGACGCCATCCTACTATCATCTCATTTCTCTCCTTTCGAACTTTGTTAAAAAGGTCTATGTCTTCTAAGCTTTCATTGCCTCTCAGAAGAACGCAGTAGCTGAAGGCGGACCAGCAGGGCCAAAGTGAGCCAACCGTTTGTTTACATACAGAGGATTAACGTTCGAGTCCGCACTTTTGAACCAAAATTTTCGTTCGGTCAATTGAATGACTATTTTACAATTTGAATCAGGATTTTGTTTTATTCTATATATACCAAAAGTTGCATTTCATCGAATATCAAACAAATCCCAAACGTAATGACGTATACTTTTGGTTTTAATATGAATTTTTAAAAAATGCAGCCGTGTGGTGGCATACTTTTTATGACTATGAGCATTAGATATGTTTCCTCTTCTCTTCTTTTTCTTGTTTTCCTTCTCTTTCTTTCCGATCCTTTTCTAATAACGGAGTTCTCTTTTCAAGAATATACAATGAGCTTTAATTTTATGCATGCCCAGATTACTGACACTTGAACTGCTGTTCTATCTAGCTGGCAAAGATATGCATATAAACAATTTTAATAACTTTCGCTATCCTTCCATATACCCCTTGTATAAACAACGCGCGCACGCGTGTGTGTAAGGACTATAATAGACCTTCAGCCGGTTTGCTAAAATTGTGCGAGGCCCTGGTATGCATATACAGATATAAATGCCTGTCTATTAGACTAGACATGCATATCTACTGGATACATATATAGATGTGTACATCTTTCAGATAGACAGACAGATATGCATTTATTTCGGTATATTTACATGTTCGTATATATCTTCTTTCTTGCTATAGGGTTTAGACTATGTTGTCTATATCCCCTGGATCCTCTTCTTTTGTTCTTGAAGTTTCTTATATTATGTTGATTAACTTGGTTCTTTGTAGGAAGATCTTGGTGTGTCTCAGTATGTAATACTTCGGTGGTAATGGATGATCTGCCCCTGTTAACAGAAGGTTGATGTTAAAGTATATATGAATATTCATTGTGCCGAGCCTTGTAAAATTCTAACAAACCGGTCGCTTGTGTGTGTGTGTGTGTGTGTGTGTGTGTGTGTGTGTGTGTGTGTGTGTGTGTGTGTGTGTGTGTGTGTGTGTGTGTGTGTGTGTGTGTGTGTGCGCGTGCGTGAAAGGTCACATGCATGTGCATGCGTTTGTTTGTGTGTGTGATGTCTCTCGTCTCCCAGTGATGGCCTTCAGCCTTTTCAAAGGCTACTGTATCATCATCA